ATAAATAAATAAATAAATAAATAAATAAATAGTTTTTCTCCATAAAAAGAAAGGGCCAGAAAAACTGGGATGGAGAAAGACAGACTCTAGTCCAGCATGCTAAAGTGAGCCACTCAAAATCCATAGGGGAATGCAGGCATTGGTGTACAAAGATATGCACACTATATGCTAAGTATGCTTTAAAAATTATGATTGGGCAGGGAAGAAAACTGAAGGACACAAAGCCCAGGCAATATGCTATACGGACAGAAGTCCCTCACTTTGTGCTGCAACTTTAAAAGAAAAAAATGGCATCAGCTGCTACAGTGTAGCGACCTTACTCAGAGTCCTTCAGCAATTGGGATCTGCAGGAGGGAGGGAGGGAGTTGTTCTAGCGAAGGAGTTGAAGCTGCCAGTCTCTTCCTCGTTTGGGACCAGCTCAGTGTCTTCCTTTCAATGTATTGGTACTCCGGGTTTCTTTTCTCCCATATTTGATCACATTGTGTCTTTTTTTTATTTTGACATTTTAAAAGTAATGGATGCCATATTTAGCACAAGAGACTCTGGAAAGGTGCTGCTTCGCTCCATGATCAAACTCCCAGAGCCTAATTCCCTGAGCTATCCAGGCATGTCTGTATAAGAATGTTCCAGTAAACGTTGAATAGAAATTTGTCGTTTTGTTCTTGCTTATCCTTTATTAAGATTTTATCTTTACATATAGGATGAATTGAATGTTTTTATCTACAACCCTCCAATTCTGTGCACAAGGATAAGGTGTGCAGTTGCTTATTAAATCTTATACAATCCTGCCTTAATAATGCTGTGGTTATGCTTAGCATTATCCGAAGCGCGGCAGCAGCCTAAGATTGTCTTATCCAGCTTGCCACAATTCAGTACCCTCCAAATGTGTTGGACCTCAACTCCCATAATGCCCAACCTTCACTTGCAATGATGGGACCTACAGTACAGAAGACACCAGACAGTGAAATACTCCTGTGTAGCCATCTGTACGATTCCATTCCTTGAGTTGTTCAATTGGCCAGTCAGTTCAGGGACTGCATGATGAATTTACTCCTGACACTCGTATGAGAACTTGGTGAAAAGCTGACTCCTGGAGTCACCAAGAGAAGAAGCAGAGATACTTGTGTTTTAATAGCTAAAACAGCCATGTCTAGAATTCCTTTGTCTATAGGTCCATACAGAGTCGGGAAGAATTAAGTTACAAGAAAGGGAAGACGTGATGAATTCCTCCTTTTTTTTAAAGCAATATTTATCTTATATGAGGCATTTCCACTATTTAGCTGGATTCACATAGATAGCCCTTTACTAGCTCAATTAGCTTGATGACAATCTGGATTCTATCAAGATAAAAGATTTAATTCAGAGCTCAGATTCTTATATTTTTAAAGCTGATGAAAAGGAGTTCATGTTATGTATTGGGATTTATAATGGAAACAAAACAAATAGAAGAGACTTATTTCAGTGTGAGTGTTTATGGATTACGGTCCAGAAATGGCTTATAATTCACTGTGTAATTGAGAACAATTCAAACTGAGATAAATGTTAGTCTTAAAGGTGGCACATGACTTTGCGGCAGGAATATTGTTTTGGTTTGTTTTCTTTTGCTTTGGATTTTTGTTTTGTTTTGTTTGCTTCAGATTCTGAAATAGATAAACACAGATGTCTCGGAAGAATATACTAATATTTCAGAACAACAGTTCTGAAAAAGAGAGAGAAAGCCATGCGGTCCTTACACTATACAAAGGCAGTAGAGGATACCTTTATTTGACCACTAAAAAAAATATATCAAACAATCAGGAAATTTCATGGGCCAAGTCCACTTCTTCAAGCCATGTACCAATAGTGCAGAAAAAATATAGAGTCCCAGATATTTATGGCAGATGGCTGTGTCAGGTCTGCTTCTTGTTGCTTTTTCTCTAACTCACCTCATTTTTCTCTAACTCACCTCAATATGTTGTCAACAACATATTGGTGCATGGCCTGAAGAAATGAACTTGATCCACAAAAGCTCATTGATTGTTTTATTATTTTTGTGCTCTAACAAAGATTATTATCTACTTCTGCATTTGTATGATATTATCTAGTTAAATCTCTGGGGGGAAATTCCCTCCTTTTTCTTATACAGTGGTATTGCTGTGCAATACAATCCATCAAGTCAATTCCAAGTCACAATGACTCTTGCAGGATTTTCTAGGTATCAAGTATACAGAAACGGTTTACTTGCTCCTCTTTCTGGTGATACTTTGGGAGAGTGAAGCTCACCTGAGGCTGCACAAGTGGGAGGTTACTTAAACCTTCTAACCACATGAGCCACACATGCCCCTGGTGATCTCAGCTGACCCCTGTCCTGTTAGACACAGAGGGGATCTGGAGGCTTGATGCAGGCATGTACACACTGAGCTATAATAGCTCTTGAAATATAGTACACCATATTGGGCAGCTTTTTTGTACTATTTTAAACATGATGAATTATTCAGTTGATTTAAATATTGGCAGGATTTATTTTTTGCTTTTTTAGTGGATTTCTTTATTGCTTCTTGTTAGCTAATGCTCCAAAGTCTGTAGCTTCTCTACTTCATAATCTGTATTATTTAAAATTTTGCTTCCCATTTCTTTTGCTATTGTTAACGCCTGAATAGGCTTTCAGTCTTGCTTATAATAACCATTGGTAATTCTTAGTTCTTTCTCTCTCCTACATTTTTTTCCTTTTTTAAAAAAAGTAGAAATTAATTTATAGGTGAATTGGCAAACACCAATACCTCTGGGCCTATCTAAAAGGTATGAATGTTCACACATTTTCTTAGTTTTCAAAAACAGTGAAAATTGCAAGTGGATTGTCATCTGTGATGATAACATATGCATCTGCTTTGCAGTGCATGTATATACTATAAACAACATGACAGCCAAGAATTATAGCTTCTAGTTACATACACAAGATTCATTGTTTTCCAACACATACATTCTTAAATTCAGTTAAAATTCTACATGCTCCACATATGGTGATGGCAGCTAGGTTCTCTGAAATTTCTGTCCCATGTGATAAAGCATTTTCACTGCATGACACTTATGGTGCCCAAGCCTCCCTAAGAAGCGTTTAGCACTCGGTCAGAGAGTTCCACAGGCCACTTACCTATCATCTTTGTGCTGAGGCAAGTCCCAAGACCTCAGCAATGTGTAGTGTAAGCCCCTTGAACAAATCTGACCTTAAAAGAACACTTTACTTTTACCCAGTACTTTGCAAGTGCAGACACATGGGCTTTGTAATTCCTTAGAATTCACAACAGCTCAGTTAGGTAGGACTCTTAGAGATAGCTCTACTCCCTGGATTTAGCCAGACCCTGCTGTTCAAGAGACCAGTCCTTTTGTAAGAATTTTTATACAGTGGTGCCTCGCTTAACGATTGCCTCATTTAGCGATTAATTCGCGTAACGATGTGTTTTTTAGAACATAATATGCACAGTATAACAATGTTTCCTATGGGCGATTTTCGCTTTTCAAAGTTTGGGACCATGCTTCGCATAACGAATGTGATTTTAGGTCCCCTGCTTCACTTAACGATGTTTCTTTTTTCAATTAAAAAGGTGTCTTAGAAGGGTCAAAAAC